TGGAACCAGGTTTTCAAAGGCGCTCAGCACCCTGGGTGCAGGGCTCTCCGGAAAGCTTTGTTACTGCATGGCTCCAGGAATTCACCTCCCCAGGCTGTCACGCCAGCACCCCCACCGCCACCCAACTACGCACGTGCAAGTCAGTCTTGGGCTGCATGCCAGCAGGACCAGCTCCTAGGACACGTTCTTCTCTGGAGCGGGGGAGCTGACAGCTCTGGAGAGTTTGGAAATGGTCACGAGCAGGTGCAAAGACAGTTTGACAGCTCCCCCCCCACAGGGCACACATCAGCCATGGGTGAGCCAGGGTAGCAGGGCTGAACTAGCAGGCAGCAGGCCGAGCCACCACAATCCAAGCTGCTGAGCCCTTGCGGTGGACAGTGTCTTTAGCAATAGCAAGGAAGGGGTCGTGATCGGGCCTTCACCTCTCACCCCGCCAGGGCACCGGCTGCCTCACCCTCCACTACGTGCTGGCTGACATGCTGGAGGGCGAGCTCCAGCCTCCTTCCTTCCCCAAACGGATCTGCCATCTGCCTCCTCCTTCCCCTCACCAACGCCCTCAAAGACACTGCACCCCCAGCCATGGCTCTACCCATGTGGCCTGTCCCTGCTGACGGGTGACAATGCACATGGAGTTTTAGCACAGTGCCAATGTGCCCCCAGGGTGTTGCGGTTGCACCGTGTCACGCTGGGGATTCAGAGGGGGACAGAGATCCAGGGACATGCAGAGCATCTAGGGACAGAGGGCAGGGAACATGATCTGGTGCAAGCACGTTCTAGGGCTGAGATGGCAGGTGCTCGCAATACGGAGGCAGCAGACAGGACATAGAGGATGTTCAGCGAGTCTGTACTGCAGCGCACGGGGTGGGGGGGTTTGTGGCGAGCAATGTCTCGGGGTGCCAGGTTATGGGGAAGTGGGAATGGACCCTCAGCAAAGGGAACAGCGTTGTGTCAGTCGGGTAACTTGTAACATTGACCTTTTGCATGGATTTTAATAGTCTCAGGGCAGAAGGCTCTCCCGACTGTGACGGGGCAGGCTGGAGGACTACAGCTAAGAGGGAGAAAGGCAGCTCTAAGGCAGCAAGAGCCCTGGTCAATCAGGAGCAAAGGAGATAGGATGGCTGTTAATTAATCAGGGCCAGCTGATCTCACCTGAGACTGCCATGGAGCCGTTAAAAGGAAGCCCTCTTTGCAGGGAGGGGGGAGACCTGAGCAGACTGAGAAAGGGAACAGCAACATGGCCAGGGAGAGAGAGCACAGTGGGCGTAAGGCACTCCAAACAGAGAGTTTAGGCCTAGCTTCCCCGCGCAGCCTGAGACCCCAGCTGAGAGCTGGAAAGGGCTGTTTTGGTGGCTGAGGGACCAGAGCTTAGACCCTGCCAAGGGCTGGTAACGCAGTGCAGACCCTGCCCAACGAAGGACGGAGCAGGGTCCTGGGACCCAGGAGCGGGGTCACCCCTCCACACTACACACACGTAGGATGCCCAGCACAGTGGGGCGCCAGCCTGGGTGCGCCTGGACAACACAGGACGTTCGATGTGGGCAGGCCACAGGCCTTTGGGCTGGCGCTCTGCCCGGAGGCGGTGAGAATCCCCCTGGCACCCTTTCCCACTTGCTGGTGGAAGGGGCTTGCTGCGGGGAAAGCACAAGTCTCTGCATTCAGAGCGTACCTGTGGAGGAAAGAAGGGACTCGCTTCTCAGAGCCAGGGACTGTCCTGGCAGCTTGCAGCCCCTCTACCCCCTGATGGAGCTCCCTTACCCCCAGCTTGCTGGCTGCTAAAGGCCTCAGCGAAAAGGCTTTTAGGATTTTGCCTACTGAAATAGCAGGGGCCGGGATTCAGGCGCCAAACTCCTGCAACACAAGAGCTGGCGCAGTCCCTTCCAGGGAGTTATTTCCCGGCAGCTTTCAGGAAACGTGAGTCTGTGATGTGGTTCCAGCAGTTGCTGCAGCTGGCTCTGGGCGCTCCACACTTCAGCTCAGGCGCCTGCTGGCCAGGGCAAGAGGCAGTAGCACTAATGGCCAGGCCCAGTGTCCTCACTTTGCCCCAGGCCTTGAAGAACCCCCTTGGCTAGGCTCGGCTCCCGGAAGGGCATAGAAGCCCTGAACTCAAGTCAGCTGCTTGCAAAGAACCTTCCCCCAGTGAAACTGACCTAGTGGCAGCCTCCTGAGGCTGCTGGCAGCTCGCGTGCTGCTGCTCTAGCTAGAGGCGCTGAAGCTTCCCTGTGGCAAAGGGACAAGAACCTGGACTGGTGCTGGGACACCCAGGGAGAGGCGGAGTGGAGAACCCCTCCCCTTCACAGCAGCCAGGCACTGGGACAGAGGGAGAAGAGGGGTGGGGGAGAGTTGCTCTGCCAGCCCAAGGGGGAGATTTAACCTCTCTCCACTCTCCCACATGCCAAGGACAAACCCAAAAGCTGGATCCTCCGTAGGGCTGAGTTGGCCCCCGGGCGAGGCGCCTGGGCCCATCCCTGTTCCCAGCAGTGCATTATGCCAGGGTGTTGCCTTTCGTACCTGCCTCTGGCAAGCAGGCAGCTGGCAAGCTGTTCAAGCCCCGCCCGGAAGAGGCTCAGGACAATCCGTCATGGCCGGCAGCTACCGGGTAGCGGTTTTGTAGGCAGGCTCGCCCCCCTGCACTTGTCAGCCAGGGCGGGGAGGGAAGGGGGTTCACAGCCTCACCCATGGAAAGGCTGACAGCACTGCATCGGCCAGAGCCCCTCCCCCACTGACAAGCCTGCTACCCCTGGCTGGGGGCAGTTGTGTCAGCCGGGGAGTGCTTGCCTGCTGACACAGCCACATGGGCAACTTATGGCAGCCCGGCTGTGCCGCTGTAGGGATCAGTGTAGGCAGAGCCTGTGGTAAGGGAGGAGGAGAGGACGCGAGTGGGGCCGGATTCTCAGCCCGCCAAGACTCATGCACCCTGTTCTTGTAGCTTTCTTCGTGGGTTAGAAACCCGCCTTGGGATGCGGCCCAAGCCCTGCTGGGCACGTGCTGCTGGCAGGAGGCACTGCTAGGCTGGTACAGCTCATTCCTGTCAACTAAAGGGACTCGGCGGGCCCACCCTCGGCCTTGCAGCTGTTTAACTATTTCAGCAGCAAAGGCAAAACCCTGCTCTGAGGAGACCCCGGGGGCACCTGGCACCAGCCAGCACACAGGGACCAGCTGGCCCTTTGTCGGACCCACTATGGCCACTCTGATGTTCTTGTTGGGTTGGCACAAAACTGCCTAGGCCAGTGGCCCCCAACACGGTGCCATTTGTGTGCGCTCGCCAAGTGCTCGGGGCTGGCGTGGCCCTGGGCACTTGGTGCATGCATGGTGCCGGAGCCGGCCCCGGGCGCATGGTGAGCGTCAGCCCCGGGAGCGCCGCGAATTGGCCGCTCGCGCTCTGGGCTTGCAGCGCTTGGGGTGGGGGGCGCACTGGCTCTGGGCACGTGGCATTTGGAGGGGGTGCTGGCCCCAAGCACGCAGCTATGGGGGGGGCCGCCCCCAGGCGTGCATGTGTCCCCGTCCTCTGGTGCCCGGCCACACCCCCTGGCACCCAGCAGCCTCTAATGGTTGGGGACCACTGGGCTAGGCCCAGCTGAACATGCCTTGGCCACACGGTGCAAAGGGGCATTAACTCAGCCAGCCACGCCACTGCCCTTTGCACTGCCCCACTGGTGAGAGAGACTCCAGGCCTGAGTGCACAGGAAAGGAGGGGCTGTGGCTGCAGTCACTCTACACTGGGTGCTTGTGCGGCCACTCAGAGTCAAGTGCAGCCCAGGGGATTAGCTGAGCGCTCACAGCTGGTTTTGTTTCTACGTGTGGTGCACATTCACCCCTGCTTTGGGGCGCATAAAAGTTATTCTGCACCTGGACAGAGAAGATTAAAGGGACCACTGGTGTGTGGGGAAGCACCCCTTGTTCTGCCTCCTGCCCCCCCAGTGTGGAGTTCACCATTAGCGGGGCACCAGCACCGCAGAGAAAAGGCAGGGAGCCAGTAGGTTAAAAAAGTGATTTTTTTTAAAATTTTTAAATTAATAAAAAACCTTCAGCCTGTGTAAGCGAGATTCTGATTTGGAAACCAAACCCCCAACGCCACCACTCGGCCCTGTTGCCCTGGCTGAAAGCAGGCCCCCGGCCCTGCTGCAGAGCCCGGCGGGGGCAGGGAGAAGAATGGTCCTTTCCATTTTGCACAACTGCCCTTCCAGCTTGGCCTCCCCCCAGGCGCACTGTCTGCTGCGGGAGCAGGGCCAGCGTCGGAGGATGGAGGAGATCAGCCTCTCCCCTGGACAAGGGGGGGCACGGGGAGATTCAACGCGCACGAATCCCAGCATGACGTGTTCTGCGGGGCACGTGCCCCAGACATGGATGATCTTCAGCAAAGCTGGAAGGGGGGCTCAGCCATGAGGTCCGGAAACTCAGATCCCCACCCCATCACTGACCCACCGGGGACTGGCCCCAGCCTCACCCTGCCGTTCGGGAGCTTCTCCAGCTGCTGGGGCAGGACGCCCATTCCCTAGGCCTGCCAAAATGCAGCCAACCGTGGAGACGTGTCGGCCACGGCCCCAGCTGCCCGGGCAGGGAAGATGAACGTGCGTCCATGCAGCTCCTTCCCCAAGCGCGATGCGCAGCACGGGAGCTCCGGGTTCCGGTGGCACGTTACAGCCCCACGCAGGACGCTTTCCGAAGCAGCCACAGTTCAGCGGGGGCCTCTCCCCCTCCTCCCTGATTCTGGAAGGGCAGGTTTCAAGCAAGCCCCAAGTCAGAGTCATGCAGTTGTGCGGGGAGCAGCCCGAGAACAAGGAAGGGGGGACGTGAACTCAAGAGCAGCAGCTCCTGACCCCTCCCACCCTCTGCCCGCAGGAAGATCCCGGTGTCCAGCAACGTCCTCTTCACCCAAGCGTTGGCGTCGCCAGCCTGTGATCGCCCACCTGGCTGCCAGGAGGGGAGGAGCAGCATGGCCCCATCTCTTTCCATTGCTCTCGTTCTCTCTGGATTTATATACATTAGATATTTATATATTTTTCTGACTCTCCTGAAGGGAAAACCCCCTGGGCTGAAGCCATTCCAGCAGAGTTGCAAAAAGAATTATAAAATATTCCAGTGCGATCTTCGGGAACCCCCTCCCCCACCGCCCGATCCCCTGCGCCTCTTCTCTGTTCTCCCCCCCAGCCCTTCCCCCCTCTTCAATGTTAACGAGTCTTATCTCTGCCCATCCATTGCAGCCATAGCTTTCTGCGGGGCGCCTCCTTGCTGAGACACGGGTGGCCACATGGGCTGCTGGTGGTGGAGATGGGGGTGGAGGTTGTGGCTGGTTGGAGAGGAGGGTGGGATCCAGGCGGGCTGGTGGTTGGGAGGGGAGGAGGCCCAAAAAGGGCTGAAGTTACCCGGTGGGGAGCAGGCCATGGCTGTGATGGGGCTGTTGCTGCTCTGGAGGGTCTCTGAAGTCCGCAGCTTAGAAAACATCGCGAGCGCGTCCGGGAAGTTGGGAGGCGTGGCTGGAGTATTGCTGGGCGTGCACATCTGCAGGGAGGGAAAGGACAGAGCATCAGACACCAGCAGGCACCACAGCCCATGTCAGAGCTGGAAAGGCAGAACCTGTCTGCCTGCTAGGAACTGCCGGGACGGGGGCGTTTGCTTCCCCCGGAAGGACCGGACAACGCCTCGCAGCTTCGGCAGAGGCTGCTCGCCTGTGGTGAAGGTTGGAAGGCCACCAGAGAGCCACCTGACCACCCGAGCGTGGACCTGGCTCTGCTTAGCCCCGAGCAGAGCCGGTTCAATAGATGTGGTGGCCACAACAGTGGCTGGTGTAATCTAGGGCTCCCAAAGATGCCAGCACAGGTGGAGCTGATGTTAGCAACTAGCTGTGGAGACAGAGCAACAGACACTAGTTCCTGGCCCAAGGTCACCACCAATGCTAAGCATGACTCCTGCTCCATTGCCTGTCCCCTGGCAATACTGCCACAGTTTGATGGGAAGCCTGGGACCCAGGAACTCCTGGGCTCCAGTTCTACTGGTGACACCAACTGGATTTGGCCTTGGAAAAGTTACTTCACTCCTCTGCACCTCTACCGAGGATGCTGCTTCCTAACCAGGGAGGCGTAGTTTCAAGGCACTCGGAAGATAGCAAGTGCCAGGCTTTTTTTCCCTGGTGAATTGCTGCATCCTGTCACAGGTATCTTGCAAAAGCATCTGAAGAATAACAGTACCACGGCCGGCATCAGCACCACAAGCCTCCTCTTGGCTCCATAGAGGCCCCCCCACCACCACCACTACAGAGGGAGTGCAAAGCCACTGACACCAGAGCTAGAGGAAAGCCACGTGGGCCATCCCACCCGAATTGTGGCCTCTGCCCTATTCCAGTAGTAAAGGAACCCAGCCCTTGGATTCCCCAGCTGCTCCTCCACCTGCTACTCGTCCCCAGCTCCTGCTGGCCTTGGGCACCTGATGAACCTGACATTGGCCCAGGGATCCCTTCAACGGCTGGTAGTCTGCGAGACGCTGCCCCCAGACAATGCCACCTCTGACCGCAAGGCACGGCGCATCCAGCCAAAGAACAGCAGAACGGTGGGCGTTGGAAGGAAAGCCCCATCTGATGAACGTTACCAGGTAAGCCCCACTTTTCTGTGGCTGAGCGACCTCCCTCAGCGCACCGGCAGAACCCACGTCTCTTCCACCTGCCTCCCAGACACACATCTGAACCTTCCCAGTATCTTCCTCTCCTGGTGCCGCTTCTCTGGCATGCAGCACCCAGAGGACTCTCACCAAGCCAGCCCGGGGAGGAGGCCCAGCCTTTAAAAGGCTCAAGGTGACTGTGCAAGACTCTCCCCCATCACCTGCCTGGAGGTGAAATTCACCAGCACTGCCCTGGGCTCAGCCTCCTCTGCTAGCGTTTTCCTGCTCTTTGGATGCAGAACTTCAGTTCCTGATTCGACTGCTGTTTTGCCCGAAGATTTTAAATGGGAGCCAGCAGGTTAAAACATTAAAACTATTTTAAAGGGATGCATCGGAAAAGAAACTGAGTCAGTAATGGAGATTAGTAGCTAGGGATGTCAAGCCCAGGCTTATCAGTTAAACATCTAGTCAACTACTTGCATTTCCCCCTCCACTATCCACAGCCCTATGCATTTCCACTACTATCCACAGCTATTTTGGCTCTTAGTCTAACTGGCTGGCCACTGCTGGACTATAGAACAGTCCAGTGGTTCCCAACCATCGGTCCGTGGAGCCCTGCCAGCCGGGCCGCAGCACATTGCTTGGCCACATCCCCAGCTCTTAGTTAGCCCCAGCTGCTGGGGTTCCCCATAAGAGAATTCCCTTCCCGCCCACCTTCTCATGCAGCAGCAGGGGGAGCGGGGCAGCTGGGTATGCTGTGGGCTGTCCCTAAGGGGGCAGCCTTATCATGGCCCCGGCTCCAGCTCAATCAGCTGCTACACAGCCCGGCTGTGTGAAGCGTGGCTGTGGCACGGGGACGGGTGACTGAGGCTGCGTGGCGGGGGAACCAGGGCCTGCTCCAGAGGCTGAAGCCAAGGCCACTCAGTGGGCAGCTACTCTGGAGGCCAGGGCTCAATAAAATAATTGGGAGGGGGGACACACACAGGGCTCAGGGCTGGAGTGTATGAGGGGGCTGGGGAACATATTTTGGCAAACTGGTAACATTTTATTTGCATATTTATTATTTGCGTAACAAATATGCAAATAAAATGTTTCCTGTCCACCAAAAGTTTCTGAAGGAGTTTCCTGGCCCCCAATATAAAAAAGGTTGGGAACCACTGGAATAATCTAACCATTAAGAATGCATGTGGCTAGTCAACTATTTTATTACCTGCTAGCTAGCATCCCTATTGGTAGCAGTATGATAGTACGTGGGAACCCCCATGTCAGGGCTCTGCTGCACTGGATATTGAGAGTTAGGAGTAGTTTTGGGTGCTCCAGTGGTCCCTGAAACCTCACCCCAGCCACCAATCTCTCTGGTCAGACAAGTCACTTTTTCCTATTTAAAACCTCTCCTACAACAGCAAAGGACAGACTCAGGCAAAGAGGGGAAACTGACTAACTGACTTCACAGGAAGTGCTGCCAAATGAGCAAACCAGCCCCAAAAGGAATGTTTCAAATAACTGTTCAGCTCTAGTATCCTCAGAGTTACTGTAATAGTAGGTGTAAAAAAAATGAAAAGTCCCCAGACAAATCTGATTTGCAGGTTGGGGTCCTATTAGCCAGCTACTACCAGCACTTTAAACTCTTGAAACCCAGTGTTTGGAAGGAGGGAGGGGGAGGAAGGGGGGGAGGATTTATTCTTTTAAATGTGTGTTGTGACAGTAAAAATAAACTAGCCATTTCACTCCCTTTACACGCTCTAGCATACCTGCTTTAATTGCAAACCCTGCGGGGGAATTTTTGCTATAAAAGTTCAACCCTATGCAACAGAAGTTTGAAAGGCCACAGAAACATTTCCCCCTCCCCAGAATCAACCCTAAAGACTAGAAGACCGCCCCGAAAAAGATGACAAGCCAGTTCCTGGTACTCTTTGAAAGACGGTCTCAGTATTCCGATAAGGTACTTCCTAGTCTACCTTTGTGATCTGTTCTTCACAAGGCAGGTTATTTTCAAAAGTCACAACAATATATGACAAGAACGAGAATGGAAAACCCACAGATTGCCACACCCAGAGTTTTATAATAAATCCATCCTTGTGGCCAGCAGAGTTTACAAAGCGATCATAACCAAAATAGCTCTATGGTTAACAGCCTCATTTTCCGCCTCCTTTCTTCCCAAGGCAATTGGGCCTATGTTATGTCTTCCTCTGCTCCATGACCACTTTTTTTGCAAGGCATTACTAGTGCGACAGAAGCTGGATCTACCTGAGCTTTCAGCCTCTACTCCAAAAATCACAGGCTCCCCTTGGGTAAGTCTGATAATGTAAGCTGCAGCTATCAGACCACTGCTATGTCTGCCTAAAGCCGGGGGGTGAAAAAAAAAAAAAAAGGGTGAAAGTAAAATTTCAGCTCTTGCCGGAACAAAGGGTCTTGCAAACCACAGCCTCCTCCACCCAACTCTCCAAACAGTTTCTATCAAAAGCATGGAGTTCAAGGGCTCATTAGTTAACCAGTTAAATGTTATGTTTACTAGTTAAAAGACTGAACAGGTGTGGGAACCCGGGGGGCTGCTTGCTGGTCGGAGCAGCTCCATGGTTACTAGTTACCCATTCACATCCCTACTTCTAACCTGGCTGGACTAGGGCTCAGAAGCAAGCTAGTCCCATTCACTAGGAGTTAGAGCTTCCAGTGAAAGAGAGTGATTCAGAGACTATTTAGCAGACCCTAAACACATGGCAGTGCCTGGCTGCCTGATCAGCAGTCTCTGCAGGGAGCAAGATGCGAGTATCCGCAGTGCTGCTCCCGCTGCAGAACAAGTGTCCGGATTGTGGGTCCCCTCTCTGGAATCACCAGGGCCTCATGTTAACAATGTCCCAGTGACCCAGGGTAGCAACTAAGCCAGGAGCGTTACCACAACAAACAGAGGTAGCCCGATGAGCGGCTGCCCCTGCTGTCTTGTCTCGCCGAGGACTTTGCTCTGCTCAGGTTACAGCAACTCTGCTCCTCAGTCCCCAGGCTCGGCCCCCGCCCCGCTGCAACGAGGACCCTGGGAAGCGGCGAATGCCCCAGTGCAGCCTGTCTCATCTCAGTAATCCCTGAACCTTTCAAGGGGGGTTTAAGAGGTGGAGCAGAGGGGTTGGGTTGGGTTTAACAGCAAATGCAAAGAGGCCCCCCAAACCCATGTCTGACATTTCTACCCACTAGAGACAGACAGGGAGAAAAGTGTTCAAAAGGTCAGAACAAGCCATAGGTTTGGGAGGGCGAAGGGGAAGAAGCTGGACTAGAAGAAGCAGAAGGGCCCTCTAGGACTGGCAAGCCCCAGGCACAACTGAGAGCGAAAACAAAGGAGAAGTCAGATCGTGACCCACGCAGGCTGGCTGTGCAACACTTTGCACAGGTGAAGCAATCTTTGGACACCTAGGCCAGTGGCATCTTTCTGAGTTACATACTGAGGTGCTACTGGAGCAGGTGACACCAGAGAGACTGACGCGAGAGGTCTTTGCACCATTTGACACTATCTAAATTCTTTCAGGTCATTCTTGCAAAATTCTACCAGTCCCCAGGGAATAATGCTGGGCAGAGTAGATCTCCCTTGA